TTGTCCCTGAGTTTCGATTTCATACCTACTATTGGTTTCCTATATGATCTTCACGAACTTTCTGTTATACCTTACTTGATGTCTGAAACTGTTATCACCCTGTTGTCTCCGTACTGTTTCCTCTTTATCTCCTTGCAGTGAAAATTTCTCTCTTGTTTCTTTTCTGTTTCCTTGTTGTTTCAAAGGGACAAGACTTTAGTCCCCTTACCAGAGATGAAAATTTTCATCCACACAGGCACCGGACAAGATGTAGATCATCTTGGGTTAAAAGGGCCTTGTTATCTACTTAGAAATGATATGCGAATTCTGACCTTTCAATCGTGCACCTAAGAAACTCTCCTGCTAGTTCTTATCCTTCATTCCTCCGTCTATACTTTTCTCTCCTCACATTCCAAACATTTTTATTTTACTTCACTACCAGTTGCATTATAAAGTATCCCGTTTGTTTTCAATCTCCGCATTAGCGGGAGTCCTCCGCTGTCTGGACCAATGCCTGTACTTTCCGCGAGGCTTAGGGTAGACAATACATGCACGCGCATATATTCAGACACCACTCAGGTGTGCTTAGATAGCATAGCCCGATATATCTAGAGATGGACGCAGTGATGGGCAGGATCACGATTGGAATACAAAGCGCTAGAATTGTTTATCCCTAAACACAAAGCCTCGAGAAGGTCGGGTAGGCCCAGTGTTCGCAACGGGGCAGTCCGTCCGTCCTGGGCTAGGACGAGGACGGACGACATTGTGTCGTCCCGTCCAGTCATTTCCGGAACTTGCCCGATAATTTAGAGCTAAGGGCCGTTCCCCCTGCCGTCCCCTACAAAACTATCTCACGCTCTTGAGTTTAATTTTCTTTGCCGTATTAGAAACACGAAGATCGTAATAAGGGTTGTTAGGCTCAGAATGTATATGGAAATCAATAGAACTACGATCGATATATAAGGTATATGCATTTAAATTGAACAGCCAGATATTTCTATTCGTGATATATAAACCACCTGTCGAAATACAAAGCTATAGAGACCAGCTTGTATTCTAGCAATGGGTTTCCTGTTGGATTGACCTTGCCAATCAGATATCAATTTGGATCGTCTCCCGTCGTCCCCCGTCGTCCCCTATCGTCACCTGCTGTCCCCCACCATCCCCCGTTGTCCCCTGCCATCCCCCACCGTCCCCTAGCTGAAGGTGTCTCAGACTGTGGGACCTGTCGTCCTCCCTAATGACGGCCGTCCTGGGAGCCTGAGGACGAGGACAGACTACAGTTTGCCGTCCCGTCTCGTCCAGGGGTCTTGGCAGTCCCCCGCCGAGCCCGACGGGGGCCCCCGGACGGCTGAGAACACTGGGTACGCCTTCGGATATTCCTCGCCCTCACCCCATATTACCAATAACCCTCAGCATTACTAGAGATCAGATATAACGGATCCATTTTGGACATAGGTCAATACCAATTGTGCAGGAAAGAGAAATGAATGCGGAAAGGATGAGGGCCGTTTGTACCCTACATTCCCATGGCGGATACACCACCGCAGTAGTGTTTACAACAACTCTGTTAGGGTGAGGCGGTTGCATTAACACTGGTGTAACCCGCCCTCGGTATGGAACTGTGTCGTTGGGATGGCGAGTCCTAGAGGGGTCGACACCAGTGGCGGCGGGGCCTGCACATAAAGAGGAATGCAGAGGTCTATGCGGCGGTCCAGGTAGGCCATTGCGCATTCGCTCGGAGGTCGTTTTCCGACCGGGACTATGGCACAGGGAAGGGGCTCTGGAGGTCGACCGACTGTAGGGAAAGGAGTGGGTGGCCCCTTGCCCTTTCGCATGGGGCGCTGCTGGTTGGTTCATGACGCCCCAAGCTACTGTGCTGGATATAAAGTGTGTCCTCGACTCTATTGAACCTAGCGTTCCTGAGATACACCACCCGGTCGCATTGCACAAGTATGTTGGCGGCATTAATGTATAAAGGGCTAGGGTGGCGAGGATCGAAAGCAGTATTCTGGGCCGACAGGCCGACGGGAGACATATGTAGCGAGCAGATGGGGCAGGAATATGGACCCTCATAATGTCCATGGTGTAGGCCATGAGATCTGCCTTACCGGTAGGTGCAGGACAGAGCTGTGGAAGGTTCGGGGGTTGCAGGAGGCTAGTTAGATATCGGCTCAGGGAATTGCGGAGGTTTCGGGAGTCTTGCGGAGAGTTCAGAGGCTCAATGGATTAGTGCGAAGGTTCAGATATTGACAGTTACTTTTGTTACTCTTGCCAAGATACCACTACCGGCCTCCACGTATTCACCTAGCCTTTATATCTACTACTACACGATTAGACCCTCACGTCACCCTCATAACAAGATGTCCAACTGATCGCGGACTAGTGATCATTCACTCCGGAATGTCATATAGGGAATTTGGCCAGGGGTCTCTACATGATCGTACCATTATTCGCCAACGGATCAGAGTGCTACGATGACTGCAAAAGCCGCATAAGCGTAGTGTTCGCGAGATAGATTGTTTCGACTCCCCCGTACCTGCACACCTGGCAGCTGTGTTGGATCAAAAATCACCGGTCCACCGTCGCGATCGTAGACTATCGCTCGCCAAAACGAAACGCCAAATGTTCATGGTGTAGACGATGAGCTCTACCCTAGATGGGAGACAGCAGTGGAAGGATCCAGAAGGTTCAGCCTGAGGTGGGCTGTGGTAACTGTGCTGTGCTGATTACCGCTCGCTCCCTCGTACAGAGCTACCAATGCGCGTCTGTTCCAGCGGCGGGATGTCCAGGTGGCCTGTGAGGCCATTAATAACACTTCACAGATACTGGTACCGGTCACCCTGTGCCCAACCCCATGTTGAGGAGCGTGTTAGATACACTGAGCAGCTCTGTAAAGCCCATTTCCATATCAGCGGCACGGCACCCATTGGTGTTCCCACCCACCAGTCGTCAGGCTGCCTACTTTGTGATCAGTCACCTACCTAACATGAGCACTCCCCACACCCTCAGGTGGTGTCAGGCCTTCCGCCAGATCATCATATGTGTCAATAATGCCATGTAGTGGTGTCACTGACACTGACACTCAGCTGCCGTGTTAGGCTCACAATATGGTCGCATACACCTCACGGAAGCATCATATCCACCCAGCACGCTGCCATAATTGTGACAAAGTGTCAAAGCAGTGTCAGTCCGGCTGGCCCTAAGTCCGGCACACCTCGAGCAGGTGTCATTCACACCCGGCACCGGTGTCAAGCTGGCCAGTCAGGTTGATCACACCTCAACTGGGTGTTATTCATACCTAGCGCCAGTGCCAGGTCTCCCGCTGGCCATGAAGTTGACAGCCGGCGACACACACCCGGGATGAGTGCCAATAACACCCTAAAGTAGTGTTAGGCTGCTTTATGATCGGTCACACCTAGTATTAGTGTCAGCGACCCCTGAAATAGGTGTCAATCTCGGTTGCCTTAAGAGCAAATACCCTCAGGAGAGCGTTATTCACTCTCGGCGCCAGTGTCAAGCCGGCCGGCCTGAGTCGACCACACCTCAACTGGGTTTCATTCATACCCAACGCCAGGCCTCCCGCTGGCCATGAAGCTGGCAGCCAGCGACACACACCTAGGATGAGTGCTAATTACACCCTAAACTGGTGTCAGATCAGCTGGCCTTAACTAGGTCGCACACCCAGTATTAGTGTTAATGACTCCCTATACCTGTGTCACACTCGCTTGCTAGCCTTGCGACTAATCACACTGGAAATGGGTGTCATTCACACCCGAGTTCCGGTGTCAATCCTCCGGCCGGTCCAAGAACTATTACAGCCACAGCGCAAGGCCACCCGCTGTCCACGAAGTTCGCGGCCAGCAATACACCCATGATGAGTGCCAATTTATGGTCAGTCACACAAGTAGTACTAGTATTAGTATCAATGTCCCCAAAACCGGATGATCAAACGGACACACCTCAAAAGAGTGTGATTCACACCCAGCCCTAGTGCCAGGCCCCTCGCCGGTCATGACACTCTCAGCCGGTGACACACCTAAGATGCGTACAAGTACCAATGACACCCCAAGATGGTGTCAGGTCAGACATACCTACTACTAGGGTCAGGCATAGGGCCTTCGCACACACTGGTGTGGCCTACCCGCAAAGTCCTTCAAAGCTGGCGAGGTCACAAAGTAGGGTGTGCGATCGCTACATGCCTGCCTATTATAAGTGTCAATGACATCCTCAAACAGTGTCAGGCTCTCATGCGATAAAGTAGGTCATACCACACAGAGGACTCATTCATACCCGTCACCAGACTGCTCTACAGCTCACTGGCATATATTAAACACATCTCAGGTGACCCCTCAATAGGTGTGCCACTGCCCGGCTTTGTGACCAAGTATGGGTGTCGACAACACCCAATCCAGTGTCCGGCCTACTGGACCTAGGGTTGATCACACACCTTCGCACGCCACTATCTCGGTTACACCCCGTCGGGCCACTAGCCCTATCGTCACTCACACCTGGCACAGGTGTAGAAGGGGCAGGCAAATAGCGATCGTGAGCACGCTGCTTTGTGACCTCGTCAGCTTTGAAGGATTGTGCGGGCAGGCCACACTGGTGTGTGTTACGCCTGACCAAAGTACCTCACTCCATATTCAGGCCTGCTCCCGACTTTGTGATAGGTCACCTACCTCATGTTAGTGTTATTCACACTCGGCAGTGGTGCCAGGGTCACCTGGATGTCCTTGACACACCTCGAATCAGCTTCCATCTCACGCCAACAGGACGCGAAGTCACACACCTCGCTACAGTAGGAGCTCACAAGGTAGGGGGAGAACGGCGGTCTTTCAATTTGGACGGGGGGGGCGATTCGCCAAGAGCTCAGTGATCGCTGAGGGGCAGCCCAAAGCCTAACCGGGGCAGCTAGTGCCACTCACACCTCCTTTGGCCTTACATCATGAACACGACCACAAGGTATTTAATCAGGGGCAGCCGCCTCTCACCATTTACTACATAATCCTTCAGGACCACACTCACGAGTCTCTTCTACACACCCTGCTCAAGCGCTATGGCGGACCACTACAAAAAAAACCAAAGCAAGCACAATATAGGCTTTTATATAAAGAAAAACAAAAGATTCCACAGGATCATCAATCCTGTATCTCTATCTCCTTGCCCTGTCCGCCTGCATTCCAATCCTCACTCCACAGCCCATCCAATTTAAACTCTTCAGCCGACTCTTGAACAATCTCTTTCCGCTCGTCAGTCATTATAGCAGCGGTAGCCCGCTTAACACCTTGGTAGTCGTAAGGACCCCGGTTGGGGCTGAGGATATGTAAGGAGATGACTTCTTTTGGACTAGACTCAGTAAACTCATTAAAGTATAGTCTCAGAGCCGCTAAAATGAGATTTGGTTGCGACACGTAGCTTGTTACGGATTTTGGCATACTATGGCCACGTTGGCAACATCCTTCTTGCCACAACCCATTCTTCAACTTCTATCACGTTGGCAACACCCTTCTTGCTACAACCCATACTTCAACTTCCATCACCGAACAAGTCCTTAAAAGTCTACAGTTCACCAAATTCAGGGACACACCTTTCAAATACCATAAACACGATGCAGCAAGATATGCAAGATCTGTACCACGAGTTGTGGGGAAAGTTATCCCCCGTTGTCCAGGAGTTCACAGTGAATGTTCCTGTTGCAAACTATGGTATCCGGCCTGGATACAAAATCCCCTTGGAATCGACCGCAAGCAGCAGCAGCTTCAACCCCCATAGTTCATTGAAGTCGAAACGGCAGGACCAGCTATTCCGGATAGTGGCTGTTGATTCACGTTTACCCTGTGGAGTCCACAAGTTACTGGTTCGGTCCGAGTACGATGCGGTGCGCAATAGGTTAATAGAAGTTGAGGGGAGAAGATGGTCGGGGGCTCGCCACCGGGAGAACCCCACCGCCCGTTGCAGGCTAGATTGTGAACTCTCAGGTCAGCCTGGTGTAGGTTAGTTATTGCTCCTCCAATCATGTTTGGCAAGACTTCTAACTCTGAGATAGGAAAAACCTATCTTCTCTCCTATCTTCTAGTACGCAGACTGCATGATTCCCTTCCCACCATATACAGGATAAACGACAACATGTGTTTCCTATTCGACGAAGACTCAGCTGGGGAAGAGACTAGCATGCAGGCGCTATCTCGGCTGACACAAGAGAAGAAGCGAAAACTATGGGTATTGACTGATGAGCCTCTGCACGGCCGCCATTGGCATGATAGGAATTCGGGATGGTTTGTAGTGTTTGCCGCATCTCCAGAGACGGTGAGAGCATGTCAGGGATGGCACAAGAACCGCAGAGTGAGCTTATATTTCATGAGAAATTGGCCATGGCCAGAAATCTTTGCTGCGTACTGGTAAAGAACCCTTCCTTGTGACCAGATGGAGACCAAAGAAAATTTTGATATGGTTGCTGATCTCCGTATTATAGCTTGGAAGCTGAGAACCCGCCCAGCCAAGACGAGATTAATAAACTCTTCACCACGTATACCTGCCTCGGCCCTGTCGCTCGTACATGCCTTGAATCGATTGATGTGAGCGACGATAACTTATATAACGAAACTCTCCAAAACTACCTTAGGGAGGTAGATCGTGAAATAGCGAAGTTCGTTGCCCGTGGTGGGCGCGAGACGGTTGAGCATGCTGTCCTTGTAGGCTCATCACACAAAATGGCTATTATGGATCCTACTGAGGGTGGATTCTCCTATACAGCACGAATAATAACACGATGGATTGGCTATCGGGTGTATGAAAAAGCCCAGAAACACTCACAACATGGCTGTTTCGAGACGTTCAAGTGCCTTTCCCGTCACCCCGCCTTGAGAACTGCTGCAGGTTGGTTCTTTGAAGGGTATGTGCATGACTGGCTCCTTCGAGGTGGTACCTTTGAAGCAGACCAAATGCCTGTCCTTGACAGCACAGTGGCTACCCTCCAATTCCATTCCACCAAGAGCGAATCGGGCCAACCGAGATACTTCACTACGGGGGGCAATTTGAGCGAACAGGTCCAGGGACTTGGAGGTCGCGGAATCAACCCTGCAGTTGTCCATCATTATTTTCTCCCTTATAGCCGCAACTATCCATCTGTGGATGGGCTTATGTTTAGTGATGTGGAAACATTGCTCTTGTTCCAAATCACACTGGCCAAGAAGCATGAGATAAAGCCACTTGGGGTGGCGCAGCTTCTGAAATGTTTACCAAAAACAATTATGAACATCGATTTCGTTTTTGTTGTTCCCGAAGACCGGGCAGATGACTATTCCAAAGCACAGCGGATTCCTGACTCTGCATCGGTTTCCCCCTCGGGCAAAAAACTAAATCTCAGGCAGTTTAGACTGGTATTTGGTGAGTATTGTATGGCAGCGGTGGGCATTGATGGCCAAGTGGTCGAGGAGGGGGAAGGGGATGAGTATGATTATGAGGCTAGCGATTGATTTCTGTTACCGCGTGTTGCTTACCAAGAAGGAAAAGGTCTAGAGTTGAGTGCCCAGTAGGGGTATTTGTTTGGTGTCGTCCTGGGCTATGTATGTATAGAAAGTCGTTTCCCCTTATTGCTAGCCACTTGAGTTTGTTAGCCCCTTTCACATTATGAACCAACGCTTTTCTCATACCTGATAAGTAGAGATAGTATGTAGAGATAACTTGTAGAGGAGCGTTTACTCTTTTTAACTCATTCGCATTATCTGCGTCAAAGTTAAAGGACTAACTCATTCCTTGCCTCGGACAAAACTCTAGACACCAGCAACTGGAGTTTGTTAGATTCTTTCTCATCTGGAAGCAATCATGCTTTTCTCATACCTTTAAAATGACTGGGCTACAGAGGCAAATGCTTGTAGATCCAAAGAAAGAGGGACATGAGAAAAAGGGTCCTTCACATTCTGTCCCTCCCCCATCAGGTAGTTCTTCCAAGTCTTTGTGATTGTAGAAGTACGTTGAGCATGAGTGGGTGGGGGAAGGCAGCACGGTTGGCCAATCCGTACTATCTTTCCCTCCCCCTCTTGCTCTTTTCCTTCCCATTTCTCCTAGCACAGGCGAGTTCACACCTGATTCCTGGGTGTTCATCCGGGAATTAATACTATGAGAAATGCTAACATAAGACTGGTGGTCCCCCAATAGTAGAAGGGCTGAGAATGAGAAATAAAGGTAAGGGTGAAGGGTGAAGGGGGGGAGGTAAGTAGGAGAAAAATTGTTGGAGGAAGTTTGTTTAAAAGTTAGAATAAAAGCGATGGTGAGAGATGGAAGGAAGGTGGAAGAAAGAAAAATGGTGATTGTAAAGGCCTGCCCAGATGAACTCTTGGTCGTTGAGGTTACCGGCGTAAGTGCATCGCACGACCGGATACATCCCTGTAGGCCAAGGACTTCCGGCAAGGAGGGGGTAGCCTGAGCGAAAGTTAGTTTATTTATTTATTTACTGAAGAGGTTCACCGTCAGAGGAGGTGTCGCTTGTCTGGAACATACTCGTCACATGACCGTCCAGGTGATCCATCAAGAATTTTCCCAAGTCCCTGTCAAAAGTGGAAACATCCGGTGTGGAAAGGCCACCTTTTTGAGAATTCGCAGGCGCTAAATCGTTTGGATCAGAACCGGCCACGGGTGTGGGACTCCATTCCCTCCCCCGAAAATATCCATCGCCTCAATGGCTTAGGAGAATATACATTAATGACTTCGGTTATTTTTTCGTTCCGCATCCTAAGTAGCCTGGTGACTGGCCGAACATATCTACACTACCACACATCACATTGAGGTAATACTTCTAATAGTCCCCGGCCGTCCTCCTCCCCTTTGTTTTCACATGTGTCCAGCTGCCGTTCCTAATACCGGTATGTACCTGCCGTCTGTGTGGTCCTTACCTATATCCTATAGTCCCTACCCACATCCTACCATCCCAGTAGGCCCATTTACAGTTCAGGACACTGCTTAACACCAGCTCTGAGTCTCCGCTTAGACAGTTCAGCTCTTCTGTGTAATCCTCATTGCTGATCGTTACCTCCTCATCAATTATTTTTAAGACTTTCAGTAAAGCCGACAAGCAATTTATGTATTCGCCACTACCGTATCAAAGGTGAAACTGGTGCTGAGCTTCACAGTAGGAATCTATTCTATCTTGATTCTGTTGGATAGCGGCGCATGGGGCATGGGGTTGCGCAGAAGACGGATATGCAGACATGCGGATATGCAGATTTGCGGGCATTCGGCTAGGAGAGAGATTGTTATAGGGCATGCGGCTTTGTTCTTCTCACATCCTATGCCGGTAGGCATATGGGGGTTTGCGCATTGTTGGAGTTGAGGCTCAAGGGATCACAGAGGATCATGTGATATCGGGATATGATAGTTCTAACGTGATTTACGGGGAAGCGGCTCACGACACGGATCCGGCTCACCCCCTGATGGCGCAATCTCCGACATTGTCTGAGGGGGTCTTAGCACCTCCCCTGGTTGAAAAAACGAAAACATTAAACATTAAATGATAGAAAAGAATGAAAAACAATTGGCCCATGCCCAATATGGCTTTGTTCAAGCTTGAAATAAAAAAGAAGAATGGTTTCCGGGGAAATCAACACCTCCCCCTGACCCGAATTGCACTCCCAATTTCCCTACTATTACTGTCCCCAATTTCGTCACTACCAACTTCCAAAGCCTCCATTTCCTCCCATAAATGCTCAGCCTGATCATATGTGACGGATTGATCAGGAACGGGAGTTCCTAGAGGGTCCTCCATGGCTGGGGGGGCAGGTGGGTTTGCTCGTGTTGGGGCAGTTTGGCGAGCATCAGCAGTACGGGAGGTTTTGTTTGCCAAGTCGGTGATGAGCCTTGGGTACACCGGGTGATTACTCATGCAATCTCTGGCAGAGAGGATAACTTCCGTAATGATATCCGTAACCGCGACAGAAAATGCGTTATTTCGGGAGTATCAAATCCTGAAGTCCTTATCCAGTCCAATGACTGGACCGGTTTCGAGGCGGCCCATGTCTTCCCCCTCAAACACGAAAGCTACTGGATTGAACATGATTATGGACGATGGATCACAGACATGGACGATGCTGTTGGATCCTCCAAGATCAACTCGCGTCAAAACGGGTTTCTTCTCCGTAGAGGAGTGCACGCAATGTTCGACTGGTACCTCATGTTAACCCGGATGACGGCTACAAGGTAGTTGTGTTTACCGTCGATACGTATGGCTACGATGGTAAAGCTCTTGATCCCGTATGCCGAAATCCCGATGATCCACACCGAGTCTCCGACAGCCTTCTAAGATGGCATTTCCGCCAATCCGTCCTTGCGAATATCAGAGGAGCAGGGAAATAGATCCTCGAGCACGACTTTCTACCCGGGACCGATAGTGTGGGTGAGGTCCTTGCCGGTCCATATGCGCTAGAGAGATTGGGGTTGGAGATAGCCGCTGGGTTGCGAGTGGTTTCCTAAGGCAACCACTTCAATCCAAGAAAGATTAGTATAACTTAAGGGAATAGAAAGGATGCTTTATAGTTTAGCTATCAATGTGGGGTGTGATGGTATGATCTTCGTGGCAAGAGAAATAGACCCTCTACTACCACTTAGCTATGCGTGTAAACCCCTTGCGAGCACCTAGAATCGCCGAACCGGCAAACCCGAGACAAATGTGGAGATTCCTTTCATGGTAGTTCTGCTTGGCTAGCAGGAAGCCATACATTCACTGCCCTTAGAAAGCATACGAAACACACAAGTGATAACCCATTACTCCGGGGGGTAGGAAAACTGCTAACGAAGACTCGACCGCCAACCACATATAAATCCTGTGAGCCTCATTCGCCAGACTTTCCCACTCGAGTACTCTTGAAATCAACTATCAGATTATCAGCGGAAATCCGCCCGGCAGCCCATGATGGGTTTAGTGTGACGGGTTAACGGAATCGGGAATATAAGTTAATGAGATGCAACAAGTCAAAAGGGGCCAATATTATACCATATCGGGAAAACGGCAATTCTTCTCAGGAGGGTTTGACTCAGAATCCGGAGATTTCATAGTAGCCAGAGATAGTGGATTTCAGGAGATTTTACATTTAAAATGTTTGTTGATCTCCGTCTTGTTATGATACCCAACCGGGTGTTAGGGCTACTTGGAAGGGTATGAGACTTTACGGTTAGGGCTGCATATGACGAATTTTGTTACAACATTAACGTCCTTTAGAGAAATGGTCTCCAATTAGGTGTTAACACGTGATCGGCGGCGAATTTCATTAGTTTGGAAATAGGGATGCCGGGTAACGCCAGGATATATCATCAGTGCCACCCCACTTCTTGCAAACAACCAAGCTTGCGAGATCACACTCCAGCCTCCTCTGAGCTCCGCAAAAATTTATCTCGCCCACCACGCCTATTCTAAGCGGTATTTGGCAACATACGCAGCGGAGATATCTCGACTTCTTTCCTACGCCGGTTCTCCAGTCACTCCAAGGGTTCCATTTACGACAATTACCAATACCAACGATGTCTCTAAATCGCTCTCTCCCACGCAATGTCTCATTTTATGATGCTACCAATCCTGACGAGGTTCTTGGAGGGCTTGTCCAGAATGGGTCTATAACTGAGACAAACTTTCTGGACATTCTCGGAATCTTACTTGTCGTTGGAGTGAGTCCGATACGTGTTCAAGAGAGGATGTTGAACCACATCGTATCCAGAACGGAGGTGCCCCTTCAAGCGGGAGTATACGATATTTATTGTGAAGGTATGTGCTACATTCCCCCCATTTACTAGGTGTCCTAATTGCTAATTTTGCCAGGCTCTATCCAAGTCAGTGATGAACCTTGGGTGCACCGGTTGATTTCTCATAAAATCACTAGCAGCGAGGATAGTTTCCGTAATGATATCCGTAACCGCGACCGGAAATGTGTTATTTCGGGAATTTCGAATCCTGAAATCCTTATCCAGTGCAATGACTGGACCACTTTCGAGGCTGTCCATATCTTCCCTCCCGAGCGCTCAAGTCTTCGGATTCAGTATGACTATGGACGGTGGATCGCAGGCAAGGACGGCGCTACCGAATCCTCAAAGATCAACTCACCTCGAAACGGGCTTCTTCTCGAGTTAACTGTCCAGCAAATGTTCGATCAGTACCTCATCTCCGTTAACCCGGACGATGGTTACAAGGTAGTTGTGTTTAACGCTGATCCTTTTGGCTACGACGGTAAAACTCTTGATCCCGTGTGCCGAAACCCGGCCGATCCCCACTCTGTGTCTGATGAGCTTCTAAGATGGCATTTCCGCCAATCAGTCCTCGCAAACGTCAAAGGAGCAGGGGAACCGATCTTTGAGCACGACTTCCCACCAGGGACCGATATGATGGGTGAGATCCTAGCTGGCCCCTATGCACGAGAGAGATTTGAGTTAGAGATAGCCGCTAGGTTGGAGGGGGTTGCATAAGGGCAGCTGTCTCGGCCCTGGGAGGATTCTGCGGCTGACGATTTAATGATACTGGCCGCGCTATCGTTACATTTTCCACAGGCCGGGCAGTATCGTAACGGAGATTTTGCAAGTGAATAATCGTCAAGAACTTGAACGGGAATGTCGACTAGACGTGTTAATAAAAAAATGCCATTCAATGGGGGGTTTTCTGGCTATATTTTCTTTCTTCACAGCCATATTTAGGCTAGCTATTGTCCTGTGGTTGGGATTGTTGCTTTTGCGGGGGGG